TTCACTAATTCGGGCAATGCCGGACAAGGGGGGGGAGGGGGGGTCTGAAAATCCATCATTTGGCCGGACATCCTTTCTGTTACCCAATGGTTAGAAATTGGATAATAAATAAAAACTCATTCCTACCTTTTCCCCAAGCATTGCTATATCCTGAAATGCTTTTAAGGATCAGAAGCAGGATTGATGCAGTAGCAGCTCCAAACACACACATGATGGCCAGGCGGTCATGATCCATGCCAAGGAAATCTATAGGCCTGCATGCACAGGATGCAATTTAATTAACTCATTGAGCACAACACTCTTGTCCTTGATGAGTAAAATTATTTGGCATTAGAGCAAGATATTGTCTGGCGTTAGATATTTTTGGCTCAAAAATGGTAACAATTTCCGCTCGTAACACAAACAAACAAAATGTGCAAACTTTGCAAGGCTATATTTTCCATATTTAACAACATTTCGTAACCAAATTTGGCAATTTTACTAATTTTAATATTAGTTCTTTACGGGAATTTACTTTTTTTTTGCCAAGATCAAAAATTCGTCTAACATGCAAGTGGTCTATTGGTGGTCACAAAAACATTGTTTAGTTCCAGTTTATTGGTTACCCACCTCATCTTGGTGTCTTAAGTTAACACGCGTCATTGGGTTGCATTAATTGCCCCCAATTAATGCGCCCTAGCTACTTTATTATTTTACTCTATCTATAGCTACAGACAATTAACATTATGCTCCTCATAATTAATGGATTAACTCTTATTATGCAGCAATATACCCCACTTTATTATTTTACTGCCAAATGCTGGATGATTTTACTCTTCAATTGGAGAGTTTTGTGCGGTCGATTGCTCATTAATGGATTATTAAACTGCATGTCTAAAAGACTGAACTCAGAAGAATGGAAAGACACTGACAATTGTCACAGGAATGTTTATATTAATTTATATTATAATACAAACCTTCCAAGTTTCCCACAATTATCGTGAAATTCCCACATTTTTGTTTGCTTTCTGGTTGCTTTGTGGGGCAATTACTCCCATGCATTTCTTTTCATTTGCACATTTATGCCCAATGCATTCTATTTGCCAACGACAGCATCCAGAAGTCTTAAGAAGTCTTGAAAATGTGTATCTCATTCCGTTATCAAAAAGCGACAAAAAGCTGGGAGAAGCGCTATTTTTTTGCAGTTTGGGTAAGAGAAGCGATGCTAATTAACATTTCATATGTTTATAGCATGAACACATAAGGTTTGTGAAACCTTGGAAAGGCAAATTTCTGGCGATCTGGGGAACTCAAATTTCAATCCCCCATGTACTCAGGGCACGCCAACTATGGTTGCACCTCGTGGCCACTAACCTAAGGAAATTACCTTCCTGCATAAAAATTTTCAAAACTTGACAGGTCTATATACTCACACAACAAGTCCAGGTCGACCTCCGCAAACTTCTTTCTTAAAACTTCTTCTTTGTTGTAAAAATGACAATATGGTGATAATTATCCCCTGAAATAGATCGTCCATTTATTTAGTTACGGTATAAATTACATACAAGCGCATGCAATGCAACATATACTAACGGCTTATTGACTGAGCGTGAGGTCTGTACTGTGAAATATCAGTCCGAGGTTTTTAGTATGGACCGAGCAACGAAGGAGATGCAAAAAACGGAGGTCTGATATTTCACAGTACAGACTGAACAAGCAAGGTCAGTAATTGGTTTATTATATGGCTGAACTGAGTCTGTGAGCAATTTAATTGCGCAAATTAAATCGGCTAATTATTGCCACTGTTTTTTCCTGGGTAACAATATATCGTAATTGCATGCTCAATCAAAAACAATTTTGTTGTTTGAAATTTTTATCTGTAAATTTTAATGACACACAATTGGAATTTTTTCTGTTTGCAAAGCAAAAATTTTCCGCCAGGTAAACATTACCTCCGGGACACCGGTCCAGATACGGACCACATTCCAGAAATGGGTTTCTACGGCCCACTTGTCAACCAATCAGAATAGAGAATTTTGAAAAGCCATTTTTAATAAAATACAATAATTTATTTAATATTTTACCAGAAAACTACTATTAATAATGGTAATTAAATATTAGACAACATGGTTTTTACCAATTATATGCGAATTAAAACCTATATATAACCAATAATGCATGTAAAAGTTCAGTTTTTGCATTGATAGCAGAGTACTGCAAACAATGGTAAAGGGATATTTTCAAGCACTTTTCTACTATCGGTATACGGTAGTAAATACTCAATCTTTGAGTTTTGAAACTCAATCTTCCTCCACAATGATTTTTTTTTCACAATTTGATTTTCTTAATGTAAATGCTCCATTACCAACTTTCTTTCTGTGCTCTACAGCTAGCTGATGGCCAAACTAGACTTTGAAAATGCCATTTCCGACGATCTAGAGACTTCAAAGTTTCATTTTTCCGCTCGGTAGTAAATACTCAATCCAGTGGCGTAGCAAACTCGATAATTGGGGGGGCACATATTCATATATTCGTGTTCACTGACCTTAAAAACAATTGATTTCAAAAGAAATTAATAAGGCAGAACACGAATATATGAATATGTGCCCCCCCAATTATCGAGTTTGCTACGCCACTGACTCAATCTTTAATTCCAAAATGTAAACACGTAAAAAGACGTTGGTCCCGAAATATTTTACACACACTCTCACACTCTGTAGTAAATACTCAATCTTTAATTCCAAAATGCATGTAAACACATAAAAAGTTGGTCCCTGAAATATTTTACATCCTCCAAAATATTTTGGAATGACTGTGTCCCTGAACACAAAATTTTTTAACGTCCTCCTCCCCGAAAAGAAACTCAATCTTCTTCTGAAAAACGGCCAGTTAGTAGCCTATTTAAGGGCTTGAAAATATCCCTGCCATTGAGTCTGAGTCACATTGCGCCCTGATGCTGCCTTACTTTATCACCCTACTCTGTCTATCACCAGACGATTTTACTCGTCAAGGGGAGAGCGATGGTGCTTAATGGGTTAACTGGCCTATCTGTCCAATTGTGTCATAGGTTAACCCATTGAATCGCATTGCGTCCTGATATGCCCTACTTTATTATTTTACTCCATAGTTGCCAACTTTTTAAAATAAAAATGTGGGAGTTTATAGCGCAGTAAATATACTACAGTAAGACTGGATACCCCAGTCTTCGATGAGTAAGAATTGCTGGTTGTAAAAAGGTCAAAAGACAATATCGAAAAAAATGTATATCGATCTTCATGCAATTAAATTCAGTGTCATTAATAATAAAAAAGCAACAATAGTTGCAATATCAAACAATAAAAAGCAGCAACAACAGTTGCAATATCAATTTAACTATCTCCAATTTACAATATATTTTATGTTTGCGGGAAAAAGTGGGAGAATTTTTCAAAATGCGGGAGGAAAAGTGAATGCGGGGAATTTGCGGAGAAAGTGATCAAGTGGGATGCGGGAGCCTCCCGCAGAATGCGGGAGCTTAGGGTTTGCAACTATGTTACTCAGTCTAACAACAGATGATTTTACTTGTCAAAGGGGGAGTGCTGGTGGTTATAATGGGTTAAAAAAGTTTAAAAACAATTATGGAAATTGACGGGTATACATAAAGTGCGAGCCAGCGAGCCATGCCGATGTTGCGAGCCACCACAGATCGGTGCGAGCCA